GTATTCTTCTTTTATATCTTACCTTGTGAAAATAAAGCTATTGTTACTTCTGAACTATTATTGTTGTATTAAAATAGGTGAAGAGGCCTCAAGCAAAGGCCTATTTTGCGCCTGCAATTGCTGATATGTACACAGAGCTTTCCAAATTTGATCCGCCCCCACAAAAGCCATCATTGTAACGCCATCAACAGTTCTTATTCTGGAGAAATTATTACGAGCGGAGTAGTTCGGACATAGCTTATATCTGGACTCCAATAAAAATAGGTAATATCAGCCTGTACATATATTGTGTACAATTTATCCTTGTTCAGCCTGCATATGCCTTCTATGAAAAGGGTAACCTTGGTGCTTTTATGTAGTTTGAATTATTTTGGTCCTTTTGAAAAAGTTAGAAGATCAATTTGACTCTTTTCTGTTTTAAATATTAATTCATGATTGAAATTTTTAAATGCTCTTAACAATAAAAATAAAGATATAATAAATGGTTAATAATTAAAAAAAAGGAAAAAAAATTATTATTGAGAGTCAAATATCATTATTGTATAATGGGTATCGGGCGTTGATGACATTGGAGCAAAATGAGATGTTGAGAGATTGTGTAGTGTTATTGCGGGCGTAGAAGTTATTAGCATTGAAGCATTAATGTCGAGACTGGCAAACTTCAATGTTGAGATTTTTAAACTTTGATGTTATAACAACGTTAGATACGTAAAATCTAAGCTGTGACTCATCATACAAATGAAAATGAGAATGTTTGGGAATTAACTATTGAGTGCAATCAATTGATTTAATGTTTTGAAAAGAGAATAAGAAATTTAATTTTTTGTATTTTTTAATAAATAAATATTTACAATATAAGAAATTATACTTAAATAAAAAAGTTTTTCATAAAATAAAAATATTTAAGATGTATTGGATACACGTTTATTTCTTTTAATTAGACATTTTCAGCATGTTTTACGCTAGTCGGATGTATGTAATCCCGATACTGCATACATTTTTAAAGAAAAATATTGGTGCAGCATAGCTTACAAGATTGAAAAAATAGAAATGTTATTTTTAGTGGCATATCGTCTGCAGAATCAATGAGCCCAAAATATGGTGAATAAATAATATAGTTTTCAAGGTTTTGAATTTGTGATTGGGCTCAGTTACTTAGCATTACCTTTTTGGATACATATTTGAAACAACTTTGGAAGTGATTCCGCTGAATCGCTCGCCTGTTTATCAGCTGTTTGTTTCCATAAATCTACTAGGCTTTGTTTGGAACGGTTTTCATACTGTCTTAAAACAATTTTTTAATAAAAAAATTATATGAAAAAGTTACTTTAGGAAGCAGCAAAAAAGCCGTCTCAAACGAAGCCTACAATGTCTAAGAAAAGACATTTACATCTTCCTGCAATACGGGCACAAGCTAGCACAATATATAGATGATTTAGCTCTAATCAGATCAATCAGCATATGACTCATCCTAAATTTACTAAATTGGATAGAACGATTTCAATGCAAATCTTAAGCTGACATCTACACAAATGACCTGCTCATGGAAAAAGGAAAGATTTACCAACTTATCCCCCAGCACCCCATGCCCAACAGGTACAAAGAAACTTTATTTCCTTGGCTTTTTATTTTTATTTTATTTGGCACAAGGCCTCTTGCCAAATGGCTTTCAAGCAAGCACCAAACTATGGCTTCATCGTTTGAGACGGTTTTCTTATTACCTTTTAAAACTGCTTCTTAGTACAAAAATTTAAATTTTTATACTAAGAAGCTGCTTTAAGCAGTAAAAAAGTCGTGGGCTTTCTTCCTGCTTCTTAAGGAATTTCTAATTTTTATACTAAAAAACTGTATCTAACTCACTTCAAATCTCTTCCTCACTAATGGCTTACATCTGGCAAGAAGAGCACAAGGAAATAAACAAAAAAAGATGCATTCACATCTACTTCAAAATATCCATTCCTTCTTCCGTTCTTCAATTCCATAATCAAATGGAGAATATAAGAATATTCAAACAAACAACAATTCATTTTAAGGAATTTCTAGCAGAAAGCCATGTGGATCCCAACAGGAAAATAGTACTCTAAATTTTGGAAATGAAAATCACAGTTGAGTTTAGTTATAGACCATGTATTTTGGCGTAGCACTGAACTTTTGGTAGCCTTTGATGACCTTATTAACTGCATCAAGGAAGTCTTTCTCAGTAACTGTCTTTCTCCGAGCTCTAATGGCAAACATTCCAGCCTCAGTGCAAACACTCCTGATATCAGCTCCTGTTTACAGAGCACCAAATCCATCAATCAAAGTGGAACAATTCAATAGCCCTAGCAAATTTTTGTTAAGAAATAGAAGTTGAAAAACAAAATCAAATCTGTTTTCCTGGTTACCGGTGGAATTAGGGCAGAGACGAGCTAGGAGTTCGAATCGAATATCCCTCTCACAGTTCATTGTTCTAGTGTGAATCTTGAAAATCTGCGTCCTGCTCTCCAAATCAGGCAAGCCAAACTCAACCTTGCGATCTAAGCGTCCGGGACGCAGTAGCGCGGGATCCAAAGTATCAGGTCTGCATATTTAGGGTTTAAGCAATGAGAGGTTATAATAGTTATAGGAGGTTCACGGCCTTGTGGATCTCTGTAATGGTGTTGATCCCATATATTATTATCATTGAATGATATCACACAAACACAGTTGTACTTTGTAACAAATATAATCTTGCATAGGAACAATAAAACCTTATTTCGCAGGACTACCAGAGAATGTTATCATAATAGAGCCACAATTTGATGTAAAATATGAATTATCACGCATGACATGTCCACAAAACAAGTCTTCAAAGTAAGCAAACAAAATCAAACTAACAAAGTGTTAGACCGGTCCATTGGACCTGTCCAGCCGGTCAATACGGGACTGGCTCAACGTAACAAGAGACGGAAGAGCCTGCGTCCTGCTCTAGCCGCACGAGTCACATTGTATGAAGGGAAATTTGAATGTAGGGACTGTTTAGAGATTTCCTTTTGAATTGTATGCATTCAATATCTTGTTTTCCTAGGATTATGGCATCTTGAATTTGGTTGAAATTTGATCTCTCTTAGATTTACGTTTTCTTGTGGGCTCTAGCGGTGTCTAGAGATTTGGGGGAGATTGATCCTCCTCTCGAATAGAGGATCAATTGTACCTTGCTATTTCTTTCTGTTAATTTGATTATCGCAATAAAAGCTACTGTTTTTTCTATTTTCATTGGAGTTTGAAAGAGTATTCTCGCTTTTTTTGTCTTTATTGCTAGGATTCACTTGAAATATACAAGTGTTTCCGATCACAAAGCAGTGTAAACTTGAAGGATCAATGCAGCTATTGGTAAGCCCATGGGCTCAACGCCAAAAACAAACAACAGAACATAAATCAGCAAAATATGTTACAAAACCAAAAGAAACATATGTGAATTGACCATTGGAGAAAATAAACAAGCCTAAATCTCATTATAGAAGTCAATGAAGGGATACCAAAGCCATCTAAGATCTAAGCATCAGCACATTGGAAAAAATCCAGCCTGTGTCTCATTATAAAGCCATTGAAGTGATATCAAAGTCATTTATGATATAAACCTCAGCACATTCAATACAAGCATAAGACAACACAACTCACCTGTTAGTAGCCATTAGAACTTTAATGTTTCCTCGGGCATCAAAACCATCAAGCTGATTAACAATTTCAAGCATTGTTCGCTGTACTTCATTGTCACCTCCAACCCCATCATCAAAACGAGCACCACCTATCGCATCCACCTCATCAAAAAATACAATGCATGCCTTTTTTGAGCGAGCCATCTAAAATAACAAACAAATTGTTATAAAAGTTGTAAAGATTAAATGCAGAAGAAAATTTTTTGGTAGGTAAAATGTTAAGATTAGGATAGAGAACCTGAAAGAGTTCACGAACCATCCGAGCCCCTTCTCCAACATATTTCTGAACAAGCTCGCTTCCAATGACACGGATGAAGCAAGCATCTGTTCTATTGGCCACAGCTCGAGCTAAAAGTGTTTTGCCAGTTCCTGGGGGGCCATAGCAGAGAACTCCTTTGGGAGGGTCAATTCCAAGCTTTACAAATTTCTCTGGATGAAGCATGGGAAGCTCTACCACTTCTCGCATCTTTTCTATCTGCTCCTTGCATCCACCAACATCATTGTAAGTGACATCTGGCTTCTCTTCCACCGTCATCATTGTGACACTTGGATCAATCTTGGGGGGCAAAGGAATCTGAATTTGATATTTGTTTCTATCAACACTGAAATGAGAAAAGACGTTAGGAAGCGAACAAAAAGATGGTACATCAACTAAAAGTGTTAATCCATTATGAATAGTAAAGAAATTTTTTTTATAATTGACTAAATAAATTGGCCAATAAGCCATCATATATAGGAGGTACATACACTAAAAAATTAAATAAATTAACATCCTCAATTATGAGGATGTCAAATCAGATCTCTCCAATATAATTTCTAATACAAGGAACATATCAATATGTCAACACTCCCTTCTCAATCTAGAGCATATAATAGCTCCAAGTTGTTACACAAAGGAGAAAAATATAGGTGACATAGAGCTTTAATAATGATACAAGCCATTTATTTTCTAGGAAAACACAAAATACCATATGAAGTGGCAATCCACTTCATCATGTTTAGTTCATTTATAGGAAATAGAATGGTTGGCAATGTACATGGAAGGACAATTATTGCAGATTTGCAGTACAATGTAAAGCTAAGTGAGGGAAAAACTAAAGCCTTTACCCACATCATTTCCCATGCAAAATCATAGTTCTATATTCAGCGCTGAATCTGCCCACTATAATTTTTTTCCTTTCTTAGGTAAGGAGGTTATTCCCAAAAAGGATGCAATATCCTAAGATTGTCTTCTTATCTTCAATTGAACCAGAAAAATTGGCAATGAAAAATATTTCAATATTCAAGTGCTCAATTTTGATTTATCGTATAACCATTATCCATGATATTTTTTTATATATTTGGGGAATCATAGAACATCCCCATGTTTCCTTTCCAGATTTTGCTTGTGCTGACTTGCCGCAATCGAAAACGAAATGGTAGACAAGCAATGAAAAAACTGCTCAAAACAAACCCTAAATCTCAATAGGGGTATCAATATGCTTACAACCAGGAAGACTTGATTCTTCAAAAACACCAATCACATTTCTTTGAGATAATGATAATTAATTTATGTAAACAAACTAAATTGCAAGTACTTGTGTTGACCCTGATTTGGTGGCAAAGCACGATTATAAGCAGTGCTTCGCATCAAAGATATTATAATCATTTTCAATGCGTATGATGTCACAAACATAAATAGTTAGTATTATGGAGTAGAGAGGAGAATGCTTGATAAATCAAGCTCATGAACTTTGTTCAAGCCACATAAAACCTTTTAGAGAAGACTATGAGGTTCTTCCACTAAGCAACATGCTCCGATGTTCATTATAAACTACCTTTTGTAGGTCTCCTTTGAAGAAGGCATAACTCCCATGAACTTGATATATAAACCAACTTTTGATTGATGCCACAAAAACAATAAAAAAAAAAAAAAAAAAAAAAACTACTCAAGTTATGCTATGCTAGTGGGGAGATGTCAAAATAGCTTCTCTCATAGACCTAGGTGAACCCTTTGATAATCATATGAGCTCCGTAGGGATTGATAAAGCCATCATGATGAAAATTGATAGTGAAAAACCACTAACATGCAATTGATTTGATTTTGGGAAAACAATGAGATCCTATATATAATGACTAAGAAGAGTATTTATTTCATCATTTATAATATGTTACCATAAATGATTCTCCGACATTTCTTTGTCATGGGATGAGACAAAACAAAAGCACATAGCAAAGTTAAAAAATGATTGAATGAAATATATAAATGAATGGAACGAGAAATACATTGCATTTTACTTTTTTAAGAGGGCAACATATAAATGCAGGTTAAATGGCTCATCAGCTGGTGGATATTCTATTAAATATGATAATATGGCTGAAGTGGTGTAGATGGGGTTGAGAAAGACAAAATTATATATGTAGCGGCAAGTAGAGGACCTTTTGGAGAAAAGGGAACAAGTGGTGATAATTGATCAAGGGTAAAAAAGAAGTATTCTAATGCAAAATTACATCAATAAATGCATACAGTGGTTGTGTAAAATGATCATAGTATTGATAAACTTCTTAGTGCAAGTACCCAAGCAAGAGACTTTGAATAACACCGTGAAATAATTTGCCTTGTAACAAACAAATATGAACAAATCAAGTATAACCAAGTGAAAAGACGACTTAAACTAGATAAATAATGGAGATGGACAAGATGTGATCATGGAGGGGATACAATTGCTAAGATATCATGTGTTGTAGTCCATAAAGTAGCATATCATATCTCATGCGCTATTAATATGCCAAGGCGCAACAAAAAAAATAAATTAACATCTCTTATGTGTGTTATAATTGAGCTGTACCATTTATTTGAGTTTGATTAAAGTTGTTTATATTGTTCAATTTGCAGGACTAACATATTATTGTAAATCACATAGCTATATTAAATTACTTGCATTTTGATCTAATATTATACATTATCACAACTATAATAGTTTATGTGCAAATCTAGATGTTTTCATACCAAATAAATTTACTTCCCAATGAAATTATATTTCCTTAACCTCATGTATGTTAAAACATCTTATATTCTATTGTTGCATTAGGATCTCCTATATTGTGGAACTATTCATACTTTTTAATATTTTGCATTATTTTAAAATATTGTACAACATGCTAATGTGCATGCGGGACCTTTGTGCTATGATGGGCTATTTGCTATTGATAAGCATTGTGACAAAATAGTAAAAGATCATATGAGTAAGGGAAATGTCGGGAACCAAAATGCTCAAGTGAACTAACTTAACATAGAACAAATTCAGACAATGCTAAATGCTAATTGTAAGAATCATAAAACAAACTCAGACAAGTAATTAGAAAGTAAATAATTTTCCTTACCCAACACGCATTCCTTCCTCAATATCTGTTGGTGAAACTCTATCACCCAAACCAACCACAAACTGCAACGAAAAGAACATCACGATTAACTTCTCAAAGAGTACATATTACACTAAGAAATTATGTGTATCCAAGAGTACCTTCGCAATTTGTTTAACATTTATCACATATTTAGCATCTTCAGTATTTGGATTGATTATCTTTGTGCATCTGGCAACCTTAAAAAGAGATAAGTAACTGACAATTTGCTAAGACAAAATGTACAAAAAACAACACTAGGAAATAGTAAATAAGTCCTTGGTATTTACTAGATACTAATATACCTCACGACAATAGAAAGTAAATCTGTCAAATTTCCAATATAACAATATAATTATCTACCTGAAGTGGCTGCTCCTCCTGCATCATTTGCTTGTCAGAGACTAAATCCCACTGGCTTGGTGCAGCCAGCCCAGTGTCAGACTCTTTAATTCCTGTTTTTTAGCAACGCAAGCATGTTTTAAGGATCAAAGTAGATTATACCAACATTGTGAAAATAAAAAGTATTTCAAATACATGTAAGGAACTTTATACATATAAAAAGAGGAGTAAATTAGAAAGTATTGTAATAATATATCAGTAGAAAAAAAAAGAGGTTCACGAAATGATAGCCCTGATCATTTTCAAAACAGTTGTTAGAGAAAAAAAATGCAATCACCAAAGCAAGCGGAAGAAAATCAGAAGAATCCATCATATATTTACAAAACAGTATTTATAGCTAAATTTTTTTGGAAAATGTAAATAAAAATAGGCATTTCATATCATTATCACTCAGCCCTAAAAGTGTACTTCTAAACATTAGTCATCTTGGAAAACAATCAATTAAACTGGCTAGCATTCGAAACTAAGGTAGGGATACTTCTTTAAGGGTGTTGCATCCACTTGTCTCAAAAACCGTAAAATGGTATCATATTTGGATAATTCGAAAGTTGTGTCAAACATCTTGTTTACCAAACCATATATCTAGTTATAAAATTTTCGAAACAAAAAATAAAAGGATGTGTTAAAAACAAGCCAGATGAACAATATGTGACAAAAGAGATACTACTACAACAACAACAAGCCTTTATCCTACTATGTGAAGTCTGCTACATGAATCTTTTTTCTCCATTGTGTCCTGTTAAGGATCAAATTCTCATCAAAATCTAATAAATAAAGGTCATCTCTAATATTTTCTAACCAAGTCTTTTTAGATCTACCTCTACCTTTCTTAACATAAGTCAAATTTAATACATCTACTTCCCTAACCGGGTCATCAGAAGGCCGCCATTTTATATGACCAAACCATCTACAACGACTCTCTCTAATCTTATCTTCCACTAGAGCTACTCCAACCTTTTCACGTATATGCTCATTTTGTATCCGGTCTCTAAGAATAAAGCCACCCATTCACCTAAGCATCCTCATCTCTGCAAAAATATTATGCTTCTCTTTTAATGGCCAACATTCTACACCATAAAGCATTGCAAGTCTCACTACCATCTTATAGAATTTTTTCTTAATGATATAATCATGAGTATATAGCTATATAACTATATAAATGCAAATATTTTGCCATATCATTTAATTTTTAAAGGCTTAGTGTGCCCCTTGTTATGGGACATATCTCAAAAATTCCAACACCATGCATGATTCATTTATGTTATCCCTAGTCCTCATTGCATAATTAAACCATAACAATCTACTGAAGCCAACTTGTTCTCTGCTACCTTCCAACCAATTTAAAATTTCAATTTGTGCCAAGTGTTGCTAGCATCATGATACTTCATATGCAAAAACAAACAATGAAAATGTATTGTCATTGGGGCCATTTGGTTAGTTGAAAAAAGATGCAAAATAAAATAATAAGTGTAAAAAAATGTAATGTATTTAAAATGTTTGGAGTTTTTTAAATGCGTGAAAAATAAATAAAAGCTTTTTTAGCTTGAAATAAAATGGTGGTGGCCAGCAGCTAGTGGCCGATAGGTGGATGGCAGATGGCATTGGTGGCCAATAGTGGCGGTGTTTGGCAGAAGCTTGCGGTGACAATGGTGAAGAATTTACAGTATATTTGAAAATTGGTCAAATTTAACAATTTTCAAATACAAAAAAAATTGAATTAGAGGGTGAATTCCAAATTCATTGATGAATTTTATTACATTTGAAATTCACCCACCCAAACACTTAGAATTCTTTGAATGCATTACTCTATAAAGTCACCCAAACAAACAACCCATTTAAGTAAAAAAACTAATTGGCAGCACTTCACATAAATGCCTCAATCCAAGATTCCAAATCAAAATAAAGACACCAACTTCTATTCAAGCAAGTTTCATTCAGATAGCTTCCCACTTCTGCTTGTAGATTTATACTTTCCAGTGAAAATTGGCTTAGCAATAGCATGCACATAGTAACCCTTGCATCCAATTCATCCCATAAGACATCCTCACCCTCGAGAACAGAAAAGAGCTTTTACAAACCCATTTGGTAGAAATTATGAATGATCATAGACCTTCAATAGGAGTGGTCACCCGATTAAATTGTAAATCATGACTAGGTTCATCTCAATCATAAATCATTAAAAATACACTTGATTCAGATTTAAATCACCATCAGATGATGTTTCATTACATAAATAATATAAATTGATTAATAAAAAGCACTCAATACACATAGACAACTAAGGAGAAGAAGCAACATTGTTAAGGACTTACTGAAAAAACATTCAGAGGTTTATCACCTTCAACAATTTAAGTTCAAGTGTCAAAAGGTCATCAAACCGTTTTATAGTGTAATTCTTTTCCGTTTGTTTGCTAAAATTCTATAATCACCGCCATTGTCTAGCCACTGTCATTTAACTAAAAATAACACTAAAAGAAAAACCTATGCAACATTGTCTAGCCTTATTGCAGGACACCCAAGGCTTTAAGACTTCATTTTGGAATGACTTTCTTCTATTTGTTTTCAAAAAAAAAAAAAACATTGCTAAATCAAAATTTTGATTTGTGCAAAATATGTGTGCGCAACAACCTATTTACCTCGCACCAAATGAAGACTAAAACAAAGTTCTGACAAGCTAAACTGTAGATATTATCCCTAGGTATATCATAGCCATACTAATAATGTCCATAAACGATATTGGGTAAAAGAAGTACGCACAGACTTAGGCTTCACTAAGTTTGTGCTCATGTTATGATTGGACTTTATTAGATTAAATAAAATCATTTTGTACTCCAGCATAAAAAAGAGGAACCGTTTTGTAAATCAACCCATATGCTCACGAAACCAGAGAATGTACACATATAGTATGTAGAAACATATAAATGTCACATAAATTAAAGTTAATTTCAAAGAGTTAAGCACGAGTAAAGTAAATCAAATGACCCTTTCGTTTATGCTTCAACTGAAAACACAGTAAACTCACCAGAAGTATCCATAACCAACAAAAGTCAAGACAGTAACTGATAAAGTTTATTCATCATTATTGTCCAAACTCAAGGTCCATCATATTAAAAGATCCCGCCTTATGAAAGTTACTTGGCAGATCAAAAGTAACTTTTACAAGAACACAGAAGGTTTTCAAGTCAGTAGGAAGCAACTCCATGGATTAAACGGGACGTCCAAAACTATAATGTATAGATAGAAGGTAATGCCATTTTTTATTTACAATATTAAGCAAATAACATTTGAGTGGGAGCACCAATTTTCTATTCACAACAAAATATTGAGAAACATTACTCATCCTTGAACACTGAATTGAAAGATCCCGCCTTATCAAAGTTACTTGAAAGACCCCACGGATTACATGGGAAAGCAAACCCCAAACTATAAAATATAGATCATAACAATGCCATTTTTTATTTAGAATTATTAAGCAAACTAAATAAGAATAGTTGTTGTTGTTGTTGTTGTAAGCAAACAACATTGATTGGGAGCACCAATTTTCTATTCACAACAAAACAGTGAGGGACATTACTCATCCTTGATAGATGAAGACCACTATAAATATAGGACATACATGCCACAGAATTCTTTTATGTTTCCATTTTCATGTCTACTTATATAACAATTTAATTTTTAAATCATATAAAAATTACCACTAACATTAATTTATTTAAATTAAATAACCCATTTTTATCCATATGTTTTGACATAATTTAGATATTAGAACGTTTTGTAAGCAATAATAAAAATTTAAGCCTAAGATATATAAATACATAACAATAATGGAGTATATATGTAAATTTCCCTTTTAACATATGGATATAAAGCACATTTTTGCCTTGTACGGCGGAAACTTCGAAATTATTCTAGTTTCTGCTTTTCCTCAAAAATAAAGATACATTAACGTAGAAATGAAATTCAACACATACCACATAAATCATTGACTTTCTTTGCCATATCTTTTATTTCCTTCTCCACCTTCTTGATGCTAGCAGAATAAGGTCCCAAACCCTATCAAAATTGTTACACAATGAGTATCATTGTCAATAATTATTCATAAGACAATAAAAGGTAAACAATACAAAAATAACCCATATTTTAAAAAAGATAGAAATTATAAAAAAAAAGCTTCTACAATTGAAGATGGAAAATCTTGGCAAACAACCTAAAATTTAAAATAACTAACGAGATTCAACTCAAAAAACCCATATTGGAAGTAGGAATTTATTCAAGAGAATCAAGCAATCAAAGTGTTAGAGTGGATGAAGCCAAAGTTGAATTGAATACACTAATGATTAAACCTATATTCAACCCGAATGCTTAAGCCTATAAATGGGAGAAAAAGATTCGGCATTTTGCTACCAAAATATTTTCCAACTATTCCATGTGGGACTAAACACAACTCTCACGTGTCTTTACAATCTCCTACTAACATGAGAACTCTCCACGGTCTCAATTACTTCCAACTAAAGGAAGCTTTCTAATATCAATAAATATCATGCATTAAAAAATTCTATTCAACCACATTAGGCCATTGTGGAAGTCAACTACCTTAAACCATAAAAATTGTCCTGTACATAAGAACAAGAAACCACATGACTCACTAGAACCCAACCGAACCATCAGCTATGATGACACACACTAGATAAGATAAACCAAATGGAGACCAAAATTGAGGCATAAACACTAGGATTAAACATGTTGTTCAATCAAAAAATTTAAGCACCTGGGTACACGATGATTACTTGAAATTTTCACACCAACATATTTTTCAACTATAAATTATAGAATTAAACCCAATATTCTCATGTGTCTTAACAAAAAGTGTATATGAAACCAAGTAGAATACCATTGTTTAATGCATGGTTATTGCCCAACAAATTAACTTAAATCATCTAATTCCACATTCCTGTAATCATTTAAGCAATCAAAAAACGGAAACAATATGGAATACAAAACATACGTCCAAAAAAAAGCTAGAAATATGAAACAAAACATACAGAGGAAGAAATTTCAAATATTAAGTTATCAACCAATTTTTGTATGATGCTCCAATTACATCTTTGAGCATATAGCACACATAGAAGTCATCAATTCTAGCAACAAAACTTCCCAAGACACTTCCTTCACTATTAAAATCTTCATAAGGATAAAAACTTAATGATAATAATGAATTATTACTTTAATACTTGCACTTTTCGCCACTTATACAACATTGACGATGATATTCTGCTTACCAAAGCAATTGGGCAACAGACCTCCAAAAGGTATACAATTAAACAAGGCTAATCACCTAAAAAAATTGCTAGCTCAGTAGCATAAATTTAGATTTTGAAATAATTAAGTACTACCATCTACAACATAAAGCTTCTTGGTTCTCTTTTAATCATTCAAGAAAATGTACAACCATAGGCTAATATTAATAGGTAATACCCTGCAGAGTAAAAACATTCAGAAAGCCAGATAATTCTTGAATAAACTAGATATAAGGTTCAACGGAATATGTCCACGATAAATATAATGCTCTTCATGTGACCTCAATATATCGTTTAGATCAGATACTTAACAAAATGTCAAAATGATGAAACTTTGAGAGGGGTATTTAGATAAATGCAATGTGGGCTTTAAGGCAAAAATGTTTTTTTTTTTGGGGTATCTTTTTCAATATAAAAATCTCCTATATAGAAAGAATATAGTACCCTAGAGGACCACCGTAATAAGGGAGGGCACTTTGAGGACCACCGTAATAAGGGAGGGCACTTTCCTAAGATACTTGACAATAACACTCCCTCTCAAGTTAGAGCATATATAAATATATATTGCATGAATTACATAGGAGCTTCAACCGAATATGTCCATGAAAAATATAATGCTCTTCATGTGACCTCAAAATGTTATTCGGATCAAGTATTTAACAAAAGGTCAAAATAGCGAATGAGAAGAATATTCAGATAAATGCAGTATATGCGATAAGCAGATCATATATATACATATGGTAGTTAAAGGCAGACAACACCTTCAATTCTGAACAGATTGCAAGGAAGTGTCGGCCTACCATCCAAACTTTATAAACTTGACCCCTACTTAAATTAACTCCACCAAAATTATCTTAGAAGAGTCTCTCTACCACCAATTGATCACATTAGTGATCTAAACCCTACCACTAACCCTCATTATATAAATTCTTTGACTCTCCGATCTCTATCTTTATGGAGATCTAGTTCTAATAAACTTCTACGTTGTTACCAATTGTTAAGAAAAACATTTAGCTTATATGTGGAAGCATATATATATGAATGTTTTTCTTAACAATTGGTAACAACGTAGAAGTTTATTAGAACTAGATCTCCATAAAGATAGAGATCGGAGAGTCAAAGAATTTTAGACTTTAAGGAAACAAGATGTATTGTGTGCTAATCCAATAAGGATTTTTTAATACCAATATGCTTGAGACCATAAATGAAGAAGCTAAAGCAAAAAATCATTGTTTAAAATTGCGCAATATGAGGCTCGCCTTGAGGCCCGACTTAACACAATTCTAGTAAAAAATGCCTCAAGACTTGCGCCTCAAGCTTTTTTTATGAGTCTTACACCTCATCTTGGATGAGGCCCGCCTTAAGGCGCACCTCGCCTCGCTGGCATGAGGCGTACGCCTCACTCTATATATGAATTTTTTTATTTAAAACTTACCTAAATCCTATACAAAAGCCCCCAAAAAATCATGCCTTCTTGCACCCCCAAGCCGCAGCAACATCCTCTCAATTGTCTTGACCTCCAGCCCACCGCCTTCATTGTAGCCACCACCATTGTAGCCGCCACAGGGGATCACTAGAAATCCGCATGTCACCACCATATCCTCTTAAAATTTTGGAGTATTATATTTATGTTAATGACAAACATTTATGAAAAATGAATATAACTGAAATAATAAAGAATAAGCAGAATGAGAGGTATTGCACCCTACAGGATGAGGCAGGGAAGAGACCAATTTGTTGTGACAGTGACTCAATTAAAAATCCCCTTAATAATAATAGTACAGATGATTTCTGAGTTGTTGTCAATTATTTCAGCTTTCTTTAGAAATTAAACGTAGATGAATAGACAACTGAAAAAGAAAAAAATTAGAGTTAAACTTTATGTTACATGATACTTTTATGCAATTCATATATTTTATATTGTTTTGTTCCTGTAATATTTAAATTTCAATTATATTTCACATAATTTTTCATTTAACATTTTATATCTTATACAATTTTTTTATTCATATGTATATAAATTTGTTACTTCATAGTTCAATAGAAAGTTAATATGTCATCTTTTAACATATTATTTGAATATTATATAAAAAATCACTTTTAACTTTTATTTTGACTTTATGCAACTTTTATATTTTGAGGTTTACGTCTCAAAACACCATGAGGCTTACGCCTCGCCTCACGAAAGAAAAATGCATCAATACCCAATTGTGTGATTTTAAACCTTGGCATAAATATATGAATTATGAGGGATTGGTGAATAAATTTGTTGTTTATTATACTACATTTGTGGCTTTTTAGTTTAGTGTGTCATATATTCTTTCTTCTCCTATGAAGGTGGGTCTATTTTAAATAGAATGATCTAACTATGGTATCTCTTTCGCCTTGCTCTTTGGATCATTACATTCACTCTTAGTTAACTCTTCCACATAAAAGTTAGATGTTTGTCCTAATAATTGGTAACAAGGCAAAAGTTTATTAGAATTAGATGTCCATAAAGCTAGAGATGGAATAGTTTGAGAGTCAAAGAATTTTATACTTTACCGACATAAGATGCATAGAGTTCTAATAGAACAAGGATTTTTGAATACCAATATGCTTGAGACCATAAATGAAGAAGCTAAAGCATAAATAGATGAAAAAACTCAAGTCAATTGAATTATGTTGAGTAAATATGATATTAACAAAGGTCTTAAAGGAAACAATCTTAGATAATTTGAAGTTCAAGCTGCAGTCTATGTATATGGCAAAAAGCTCTCTAACAAATTGTATAAGAAGCATAGATTGTGCTTAATTCAAATGTAGGATGGTACATCACAAAAACACCTCCAAATGATTTTAATTCCACTATTTTATGTTTAAAGAATATTTATGTGACTATTGATAATGAAGATTAAGGGTGCGTTTGGGATGGTTGCTGCTGTCGGTAAAGTAGGTTGTGAAATTATTATACATAAAGCTGCTTTTTAAAGTTGCTGTATAGAAATCAGTCAATGTTGTTTGGGTAGTACTACTGTCGAACTGCCGTGCTGCTGCTGTTTGACAACAAATTACCTCGTTACCCTTACATGTATGAAGATGAATAAAATTTGTTCAAATTTAATTTTTTTAACTCTTTATGTTAACAATTTTGATATAAAATATAATTATTTTATTACTTTAAACATTACCTCGTTACCCCCCCATCTCCGGCGAAGCTTCGTCCTCAAATGGCCTCCCAATCCCTTCACTTCCTGACCCCTGTTAACCCCTCCCGCTCTCTCGCCTCTTCGCCTTTCCTACGACCATCGCTCCTACCATGAGACTCCGCCTCTTCCGCAGCTCCGCCGCCGCACATACGCCACCGCCAGACCTTAATCCATCACCGGTTCCGGTGATCCTCTCATCCACATGTTCTTGATTCAATTCATAAGATATTTCTAAAACTAAAGAAAAAAAATCATTCAGTTTAATGAATTAATAGATCATAAAAACTAATTTCATTTCGATCATTCCTTCAAGCCAAACAGTGCCTTAACTAATTTTCAATTTTCCACATCTGTTCAATACCGTAGGCTGCAGCTTCGCCGGTGCTTGAGAATATGATCTCAGGGTAGACCATTAAAATCCTCGGCGCCCCCTACGACGCCGTCCTCGAATTCGTCCGCTTCCTCAACGCTGGAGAAGCCAGACGGCCGCCGCCTGAGGCAACGGAGGCGATGAACCTGTACGGCGTTCAGCTTCTGGCGCTCGCTCACGCATACCGTATCGGATGGCTAAAGCGGCTCTGCGAAGCAGCCATGGGAGGGCGGGTCGGATCAGATGACGTGGTCGAGGTGATGAAACTCGTGCAGCTCTACGACGCGCCGCAGCTTCGTCGGCGTTGCCTCGCTGTAGAGGCGAAGGACTTCTCCGCCTTGCAACGGACGGAGGGTTGGCGGTTCGTTCAGAACCATGACCCCCGGCTCGAGCTAGAGATTTTACAATTTATGGCGGAAAGGGAGTAGAGGAGGAAGAGGTGGAGGAGAGAAAGGTTGGATCAGGAGGTCTTCTTGCAACTCGGCGAGGCTATGGAATGCTATAAATGTACGGCACCGTCATCTCGGGGACGCCAGTGAATCTTATCCCAGTCCAGTTCCCCGTCCACCAGTACGAAACCGAGCCATTGAAGACAAGCTCGAACTCACCGAATTTTGGCGGGCGAAGCCAGAGAGAGAACTCACCGGGAGATATATCCATGGGGCTTCGCCATGAAGTGATCGCCATGCTGCCCGTCACTGCCATCTCCAGCAGCCATGTGTCGGCAGGGAAGTCGAAGCTCTGCCACGCAATGGCTCCTCGGCCGCCGACGGAGAGTAGTACAAGGTTTCCAGCATCGAGTAGCTGAACTGCGGCGGCAGGAGTAGAGTTCTCCGTCTCCCACATAATGGAGTTGGAGGAGTGGGTGACAGTGAGGCGGCCAGCGATGGTCAGAAGAGCCGACGGCGGCGATGCTCGCACGGGGGCCAGGCGATTTGCCACCCATACGTAGGTGCGAATGGGAATGGAGGCGATAAATGTAAGGGCATTCATGTATTTCTCATACCTACGAACAATGGGAAGCAGCCGAACGCAGGAGGCTTCCTCCGGACACAGAAAGCAACCGCGGGACGCAGAAATTTTCAGACCGGAGCATGACCGCGTAACTCCAAACCATCTCTAGGTTACGTTTCGTGCCGCACAGTAGGGAAAAAGCCGTCCCAAACGTACCCTAAGCTTATTACTATTTTCTATTTAGCTACCACATATGAACATTTTGGTGACATCTTTTTGTTGTATGGGAGAGATACAATCAACTTTAGAGAATGTACAAAATTTATCTTCTTTCAAAGAAAGTTATTTCTAAGCTTGGGTGTAAGAATTGAAAGGCTTGTTGAGGGATTATGAGTTCGGGGGAGATCTTATAAAGAGGGTTCAACTTCTAATCATGAAGAGAACAAGTTTAATGGAAAGCAAAAGAAAATTATTTGCTTATATCACAAAAAAGGGCATATAAAGATATATTGTCGTGCATTGAAAAGAAAGGTGTTGCATGCAGATGAAACTAAAGCTTGACGTTTAACAAGAAAAATGTCTTAATCAAGCATTATCCACAACAAAGTTTTTCTTGCACATATTTAAAGTTAATCACATTTATAATAAGTCATTACAAGTAAAATAATGGCTAGATAAATGCTAATTCTTCATTGAACTTTTAGGATATGAAGTATGAACACCATAGATGTGGACTGTAGAGTTTTAGCAACCACCTTATTTGAAAGTAATGGATTTTTGAAATCACTCGACGTGTGAATACACCCCATTATGTTCCACCAAGTGCACAAAAAGTGAAGTAGTGTCATTCATTTATCCAACGGAGAAACTTAAAACAAATAGCTATTTCTATTTGAAGCTTTAGTGTATCAAATTCAACCTATACTTTGATAGGTCATTAACGGCAAATTTTGTATTTTAAGAAAACCCCATGTTTTGTAAAACCCCATTTCCTAAGAAAAAGATAAGCACCGGACAACTTCCAATTATACACCACTAGTCCCACCTTTTAGGTTCTTTGAGCATGTATAAAATCAAGAGAGGTTCAAACCTGAGTTTCTTATAAGTTATGGTTACAAGAAGCTTCAAATAGATAAATTTGCATAATAATTTTATCAATCAAGAATCATTATAGATACCCTCCTTTTTATGGATAAAGATATTTCAAATATTTTTTCAATGATAAGTGAGCAAATCACCGGTTACAAATTCTTTTTAGGCGCAAGGACAGATATAGATTTAAAAGGATGTAGGAAGCAAGAGAAATCCTTCATGCCACTGTCGAACCTGAGATCTATACCATAGTTACTAGTTTAACAGCCTTTGATCAACAACAACTTTCCCCTTTTACCCTAGAAAAAACAAAGCAACATAATTTGAGAATACACTTTCCTTTTTGGTATGAGAATTATAGTGACTAATAATTTATCAAACAGAACTAGCATGTGACTGTTATCAAGACTCATTGGACGCCCTAATCCCTAATTGAACAAACTGCACTTAATCACAAAATTTCGATCCTTCCCGTTGTTAAGAATGAAGAAAAAAATGTTGAAGCTGTTTCACCCCTTTCTTAAAGAGTAAAGGAATCAAAAGAAATGCCGAAAAAGCCAAATCCCCCAAAAAAACCTAATCCCCGGACAAGGTTAAAAAAAATATAAGAAAAGCTATGCACACAGCCTCAAACACTCTCATGAATTTTTCACGATAATCGAACGTCCGGATAAGCTTAGAAAAAGCTTCTATTTTTCAGATCATGGTAATTCCGGCAGATCTGGTGAACTGATGAACGAGGAGAGAAATAAGAGTTAAGGACAGAAGCATACGTATGTCTTGAGCAGGGCGATGTCATCCTCGTCAAGGGGCTTTGGGTTCTTCTCGTTCATTTCATCTTCGGGCTCCGGAGCCATTGCGGAAGAGGGCTGCGGCTACGGCTTCTCGCTAGGTTTCTTGCAGAAGAAAATGAGTTCGTCCCCAGTTCAGCGAACGCGAAGTTCGGACCGAGAAGACTTGGGGGCTGTTTAACAGAATTTAACACTAGTCTTGCAAGACAAGTTTTAGGATTTAACTTTAGCGGGAGTTAGTAAATTGTAAATACTAAAATTAAATCTTATTTGTTACCGAGCAGCTTCTTAAAATTATAATAATTTCACTTAGAGGTTATTTTGTTTGTTTAAGTATTTTTTATTTACAAATTACATACTTTTGGTGTTAACCATCATAGTCAACGCTATGGCTATAGCATTCCAAGAGTTGCTCGTGGTTCGACTCAATAAGAGCACGTTCATGTTTGTTTGATAAAGTAAATGAACGAGCTTGAACGCTTTTGATAAATACTCGATATTTTAAATAAACGAATTTGAACAACTTGGCATTCAATTCATTTATGTTCACGAGCAATATCATTTAAAGCTCGTTAAGAAGTTTTAGTAGAGCTCCACTAAGAAGCTCGATTAGAATTTTATAAATAAATATTATTAAATTAGCTAATTTAATAATATTTATTTATAAAATTCTAATCGAGCTTCTTAGTGGAGCTCTAATAAAGCTTCTTAACGAGCTTTAAATGATATTGCTCGTGAACATAAACGAATTGAATGCCAAGTTGTTCAAATTCGTTTATTTAAATATCGAGTATTTATCAAAAGCGTTCAAATTCGTTCATTTACTTTATCAAACAAACATGAACGTGCTCTTATTGAGTCGAACCACGAGCAACTCGTGGAATGCTATAGCCGTAGCGTTGACTATGATGGTTAACACCAAAAGTATGTAATTTTTAAATAAAAAATACTTAAACAAACAAAATAACCTCTATAAGTGAAATTATTATAATTTTAAGAAGCTGCTCGGTAACAAATAAGATTTAATTTTAGTATTTACAATTTACTAACTCCCGCTAAAGTTAAATCCTAAAACTTGTCTTGCAAGACTAGTGTTAAATTCTGTTAAACAGCCCCCAAGTCTTCTCGGTCCGAACTTCGCGTTCGCTGGACTGGGGACGAACTCATTTTCTTCAGCAAGAAACCTAGCGAGAAGCCGTAGCCGCAGCCCTCTTCCGCAATGGCTCCGGAGCCCGAAGATGTCATTTAAAGCTCGTTAAGAAGCTTTATTAGAGCTCCACTAAGAAGCTCGATTAGAATTTTATAAATAAATATTATTAAATTAGCTAATTTAATAATCTATTTTTAACTTTTACAGTTTTCAAAATCCCGCTCCTGCTCTTGGCACGCGCTCACTCAATAAAAAAAAAAAATTAGTTTACTACTTATGCTCACAAATTAGTCTCACATAGTGCATGATAGGGATGTCCATACTTGACCCAACCTGAAACCCGGCCTAAAAATTTCTAGGTTCGGGTCAACCCATTTTTCATATAGTCAGATAATGGTTCAACAAGCCAACTCATTTCAAAAATTGGGTCGGGTTCGAGTTGACATGGAAACTAGAAAGTGATCTGAATTCGCCTAGATCCAACCTCTAGCTCCGAGTTTGTGCTCGTGAAACCTCTCCACGTCACTCCACTAGTTCACCTTTCCTGCACTCTCAACCACCTAAGTCACTGGTCGAGCTCGCCCTCCTGCGGCCCCGCTGTCCCCCTCTCTGGTCTACACACAGACTCGCTCGCCCTCCCGCCATCTAGTCATGCGACGCATATGCAACCTAACCCCCCTCTCCCCTTTCACACGCATGGGCCACACCCCTAGCTCTCTCGCTCCCAGTAAATGATAGCGTCCTCGTGTTCTTACTTGACCTGGAAAATTTTGAGTTAGGGGATCGGGTCGAGTCAACCCGATAACCCAAAGGATATTCGTGTATGAAGTTTTGACACATTTATAAAATCGAGTCGAGTTAAGGTCAACCCATTTGAGCCCCGATCAATTCCGAATTCGATCGAAGCCCGACCCGTCGACCTGTTATGACACCCCTAGTGCATGAGAACTTTATTTTGCTCTACAAAATGAAAAAAAAAAAAAATTTTTGAAATTTCAGCCAAACAACAGGAAGTTGGAAGACGAGGCGTGAACGGATTCGCCTGTTATTTGTGATTTTGTTTAAATGAGCCCAACGACTTGTTAACAATTGACTCGTTAAGAGGCTTGATGAGCTTAAATAATCGATCTTGAACATGAACATGAATTGAGCTCGAGTAGGGGTTTTCTAAACAAGCTCGAACAGAGACAAAAAAAGCTCGTCTCTTATCGAACCGAGCTCGAATAGGGTCTTGGAAAATGAGCTTGAGCTTGAACAAGTTTAAGCTCAGCTCGGCTTGGTTCGTTTGCAGTCCTAATCACCACAATATTTTCTACCACTGACCTCGCAATCATTAGTTGTTGCCCTACTACTGCCACCGCTAAAGTTTATACTCAAGTACTTTTATTTCAAACAAAATAGAAAATCTTGTGCCATAAATTTTAATTAGTAAGTGAACTAATTAATAACTTTTAAAATATTCTTATTTTTAAATTTTTATTTTTTTGCTTTCTATTTAATAATTCATAACAAAATAATATTTTAATCTTCCAAAAACATCAATATACATTTTAAAAAAATATATTAAAATTTCCATTATATATTCTATTACTTGTATTACATATAAATTTATGATCCAACCGGCTTTTCTATAGAAAAATAAAAGCTGTCCTTGAGATTTCTATAAAAGAATTTAAGTATCAAAGAATTTACCTGAATACCACTTAAATTAGGACAAAATATATATAGAAAAAAATTGATATGTTGCCACTAATATTTAACATTTTACTCAACTAACATGAAGAAATTATTATGTGCGGACCCCAAACGGCATCCGGAGATCAACCAGAATGAGCCACATCACTTTTTTGCTCGGTATCGCTGCTCAGTAGCACTATGTGCCGAGTGACATGGCACATTCTAGCTGTTCTCCGGACAGTACGGTGTCCGCATAGAATAATTTCTCCCTAACATGAAGCAAAGGCTTGCTCCAAAGCTTTGTGTGTTCTGCTTTTGCTTGTATTTTATCTATTTTTACACAAAACACCAGCTTTCACATACAAAAATCTATTCACATGCTCATTAAAAAAAAATGTAGAAATATATTTTTTTAAATAAAGAAAAAAACTATGCCATAGTAGTTTGATATAAATTATATCAAGATCAATTAAAATTTATTAAATTTATTTTGAATCCAATAATATATATGAAGAATTTATGTTACAATAATTTGAAATTTTTTTAAATCTGTCCTATCAAGATATCCTGATAATTTTAATTTTTCAATACAAAAGGCAAAAGAATGAGAAGATTGTCTAAACATACAGCTTCAATTATACATTTCAAGATCTACATTTATTCACCTCTTCAAGTCCTTACAATCAACATCAAATAGTAGCAAAATTTACACACAAACGCAAGGACTTCAGCCATTGATTGCTGAAAGGAGTTTCAGAGCAAAAAATTTCAACTATGCAAACCTTAACAAAACTATCGCCACCAAAGCTAAAGCTCTGACGAGAACCTCATTTATGCTTCCATCGACCCTCCCAATTATCTCCTCTTCTGTAAGTTTAAGCTTATTTGAGCTCCTGCTCATATAAGAAACAGTCTCCCGCAACCTATTGACAGCCCATGAAAGCCAGAAGAATCCAATACCAAGTCCTGTGTTCAAAACTTTGGCAGAGCTTGGCAGAACTTTTCCAGTTGCAGTTTTGCAGGCAACAGATAAGAGAATGGCAAGGCCAGTTCCTGCAATGCCGGCAGAGAACTGGGTGAGAAGTTGTGTTATTTCGGGTCCTGATTTCTTCAGTGAGAGGATAACCATGCTGTTATTCTTCTTATCAACAACGACTGAGAGGAGAATCTCGCAGGCACGGAAGTAGTTTGTCTGGTAAAGATCTCTGTCTCTTGCTGCATTCTTGCCTTGTTTCTTCTTCGGTGATGGCTTCAGCTTCATGTTTTCAGGGCTAGATATTTGTGGGATGAAGAAACGGTCAGATGGTTGGAAGGAAAGACAAATAAAGCACGAAGGTGTGTTTTTACATAACAAAGAATCTGTTATCTCTAACAATCTACAACATTTCTCTTTTCAAGTTAAAACTTAGGCTTCGTTTGGGACGACTTTCTTTCTGCTTCTTAAGGAAGCTTTTTAGTATAAAATTTTTTATTTTTTACTAAAAAGCTGCTTTACGAAACAGTAATAAAGCCGTCATTCTTAGAACAAGAGCATGTCTGTGGCAGTAATTTCCATAAGTTTTTTTTTTTTTTTTGGTCAATAATCATGAAACTGGCGTTGGGGTTCAGCAATAATCATGAAACTGGCGTTGGGGTTCAGCGATTTGTGTGATTCTATCTTGCTTCCAAACAAAGTAGAATTTTTCCTGCAATTTTCAAAAGCTTGCGTTGGAGCAAAGGTGTAGAGAGGTTGCATTTTCTGTTTTTCAAGGTACAAATGACCAGATAACTAAGGTCCTCAATCCTTGTTGGCTACAAGAAACTACACCAAAATCTAACAAAAAATTGTTTGGTGGATTTTGAAGAATCATAAATATATGGATATCAACAATTAAGTGTAACTAGAAGGCCAATAAGAACCATTAAGTGTAACAAGAATGGCAATAAGATTATGTTAGTCAAAAAAATATAATTCATACTATCTTACAATGAAATGCACGCCCACAAAAACATAGAAAAAAAGAAGGTACTTCACAATTTAGACACCTCTACATCAAAGAGAGGCAGACATCCTTTGAACCAAAGGAGGTGGCCGGCCCCCTTCTTGTGGCTAGCCCAACCCTCTTGGGTTGGGTTTAGCTCCTTGCTCCTTAGCACCTTCTTGTGGCTTCCAACTTAATATGCCTTAGCCTTACCTCTTCAAGCAATGGCATAAGGCTTGTGCCCTCATCATCAAGGACTTTTATGTGGGCTCCTAAAAAAAAATCGGTATATCGCCATTCTAGCGATGGTTTCTTCACTGGTGGGTGATTGTCCTCATTGTTCAGTCCTTCATTTATTATTGAAGATTGTTTGTAAATCTCCATCAATATAGTCACATATTGTTGCTAAAAAGTGACTTCGAAGGACAAGTCACTTGATGATCCTTATTATGTTCACATAATTGTTTCTCTTATTTACTTTGGATTGAAGTGCTTTAAGGTTGAAAGTGGCTCTCTACTCTTCTTGTAGCCGCTCTTCATCAAGACCATAGACTAAGAATTATGAAAAACCTTAGCTCTTATAACACTTGATACAAAATTACTCAAGGCTCTTGAAATTAGATATGCTCAAAAGTAACCACAAGAAAAACAATTTATTGGTTTATTTTGAAGGGCTCAATTTGCTTTTTTATTTAAGGAAGATGGTTTGCTCTTCCTCTCATACTCACATAATAGGATTCACTTGCTCATTTCCACTAAATCCCCCTTGAACCCTTTTACACTTAGAACATAATCTCTTATTTGACTTCACTTTAATATTCAAATCAAGTACGAAGGAACTTGAGATTGATGAATGAAGAAGATATGAGTAATAACTCCGTAATGGAGTATCTCTTAAGGAGGGCCATGCTCCACTAGGAAAAGGATTAAACTATTAAGAAGAGGAGTGGATAAAAGAAGTTTAGTCAAGACAAAATAAAAAAGCATAAATATAATTTTCGGCCAAATATAAAATGGATATCAATGAACCTTCACTCAAGAGACTTTTCATTAACACTTGAAGAATGGAATATAAAGCATGGCATAGGAATTAGATGGTAATATGGTGGTCAAGCACACCTGTTTATATATGTGTGGATTGTTTTAGCACGCATATATGAAAAGGTGTAAGTGAATGGATTCAACCTATCGTAAAGAGGTGTGAGTGAATGGATGCAACCTTCAATGAAGAGATACTTTACAATGTAGGAAAAATTTATATGAAACAGAGTAAATAATGTCTTGACATCCTTTGGACCAAGAGGTATGGCTCGCCACCAAATGGTTGGGGTAGTTTAACCAATTGGATCCTCTTGGATTGGGTTTAGCTCCTTAGCTAGTTTATTTCTTTATGTAATTGAAGTTTTGATCTCCTAATCATCTTAATCAGATAAAATGTAATTCATAGATAAAATAAAAATACATGTAATTCAATACTCAAAATAAAATCCACACAAACCACAAATAGTAAAAAGGAAATATTGATGTAATATGAGCTTCATCAAGAAGTAATAGTTTAAGAATATTAAAAGAACTTGCATAGCCTTCAACACCTTCACAGGCATTGAATATGATAGATTAAATATCATCATCATCTTATCCCAGCTATTTGCCGTAGACGCTATGAATCTTCATATTCCTGTTGAGTGTATCTACTCCCCCCCAAATAATTTTGAACTTCTATAATTATTACCTTAGGCCTACCCCCTTGGCCTTTCTAATCTTCTAAGATTAATTTTATCAACTCGCCTAAGTGGCTCATTTTTTTTATTATTCATTGTACAAGTCCAAACTACCAAGGATAATTTGTCATCTTATGTTCAATAGATCTCATTCTAGTCTTTCCTCTAATATAGTCGTTCATTAGTTCATTTATGTTTTTGCTAGAGATCCATCTTAATATTCTCATTTCTTCTACACTCAACCTAAATATTAATGACTTTTTTTGGCCTAACTTTCAGACCAATGCAGTATTGTCGATTTATTTGAGAAGAACTTCTCTATTTTAGCCATTCAATATTAACTCTAGAAGTTATATCATCATCTACATATTCTCTTTTTACATATAATAAATAGATACAAGATGCTTCAACATATCACAACCAAGTATCTAATAATATTGAATGATAATTATTAACATACTACCAACTAAAATTGCACATCATATACTTAGTCTTTGTTCAACTAATCTAAGACTTCTATCTTCTAAATATTTTCTTCACTGCTCTTCCTTTTCACTAAATTTAGTGGATTTCTCACTAACTATAACTATATCATGATGTGAAACGTACTTGCAAGGATGATTAACTTAGGGAGTTTGCACGCTTAATGTTAGAAGCCATAATAATCATATCTTCACAATGAATGCTCTAACGACAAAAGAAAGCACTGTGAGCGGTAAAATAAGCTTAGGCCGAATCACGAGCGTAAAAGCTAAGATCATAAAACAATCACATTAATCTGATGTTGCATACATGGATGATTTTCAACAAGATATCCCTAGATTCACATTGAGACAAGTCACCTTGAGAAATTCCACTCATTCAACTCTCTAAGATTACTAGGTTTTAGCGGAGATCAATTAACAAGCTCCACATGAATCCATTAAGCCACATTTAAGGTAACTAAGGAAATAAGAGATTAGGAAAAGAGTTCACCATTATCAAGCAATAATCAGTGGTTGAAAGCTTCCAAACCGCATCCTCCTTACTCTCCAAGGTTGGGACAGTAGTCTAGAAATTTGTGGACAGCAGCAAATGTGTTGGAAATTCACCAAAACTGCTGGGCAGCTAATTTCCGCAGGTGGAGGCGTATTGACAGCAATAGGAGCCTTTCAGATGAAGGCGAGATGTTGGAAGACGTGCAAAAATTGATGGACAGCAGCTGGGGGATGTGTGACAGCAACAAGTGATGGTTGAGAAGACCTTTTGGCACCTGTTACTCTTCAAACAACGGACCAAACAGCAACCAGTGGGGCGGGACAGCAGTTTGCCACATCGGGAGGATCTTGGGCAGCAAGGCGGACCTTCAAGAGAAGTTGGATGGCAGGATGGTTCTGCTGTAATTTTTGGACAGCTATTAAGAATTCCTTCCCGGGAAAGAAAGTGTGAGGGAAGGGGTGAAGAAGGGGAGGCTCAGGCTACATGGAGAGTAGGGAATTTTCTTTCCGGTAATCACGATCAATAGCAGGAAAAATCCATCCGTTATGAATTAATAGGATTCCAAATTAAGGAGTGATTGGGATTCATTATTGGAAAGAAATAAAGGCAAAGAAGAGGAGGGGGTTGAAGTAGAGGAGCCTAGGTTTAAAAAAATCTGAAGTTAATTCTCAGTTTTGGAGGGAAAGAAACTTTAATTTGAAATTCAAATTAATTCCCATAAGGTGGCTTGATTGGGCAGCAATCAAGGAGGGTTTAATGGATGATTTAATGAGGGTCTAGGTGGCAAATTGGAGAGAGAAAAAACACTAGGGAGAGGCCGGCCACATGAGGAGAAATTTGAGGTGTTTGCAATTAATAGGTGGGCCCGGAAAGGAGTTAATTCGGGCTTGCCATTAAACTTGAAATTGATTT